CTATTCTCTTTGCCAGCTTCTCAAGCTTCCAGATGTGTTAATCTGTGCCTGTATAAATTTCACTCATTTGTAGGCAGTCTGGAACTGTCTCAAGTTTTTACATATGCGATCGGGATGAGTCCTTTTGTGAGTAGCTGGCAGCCGGATTCACAGTTCAATACCAACACCACCACAACTATAACCAGCAGTCAATTAACCATCACTATACTTATTCGTCACCCAAACTACCATTGAGAAGACTGTCCTCCTCAAGATGGGGGTACAATATAACCCAAAACTCATCCAGTGCCAGAGCATGTGTGTAACTCAGGGACAGTACTGTGAGTTACTTGTGGGAGCAAGTTCTGTGTACCTATCAAGTTGATGTGTCCTCTATGGTGAGGTACTCTTCCCATTACCTGATCCAGTTGAGCAGAATTACCAGGGTCAAAGACAGTCGATTCACCCGAGCTGAACGTGAGGCATCAACAGTGGAATTGGGATAAGTGAAGTTTATGTCTCGATTATGCTATATTCCCCACAGCTCCACTGGATTCCAAGGATGAATATATGCTTCCTCCAGGACCTTCTGACTGTTTAACTTTGGTAGATTATAGTCATTGTATTCTGGAATCCAGCTGTTTGTGTTTTGACATTTACTTCACTATTTTTCTATCTTGTACATGTTGTAACAATTACATGCATTCATTTTCATGGCTGACTTTAGGTTTCTCTATGTCACCTTTTTAAGTGTTTAGCAGTTGTGTGTGTATGTTATCTTCATTATATGTGTTAACCATGGTTATGATAATGACCTATCATAACCTGGGGGCTTTCTTTAGTAAGTAGTGGGGGTGTCCAGCCAAGTGTGCCTAGAAATATTGTATTCATATACTGATATATTTTGTAGTGTCAATACTTGAGTTGCCCTACTCCAGAGATAAGTTGAGCGTATATTGGCCACGGGGAATCCCTTAGACCAATACAAGCCAAACGACTCAACATAATTATCTCTGAGTGCTGTTGGTTCTGAAGGAGGAATCCTTACATTAGGCACGCGACAGGAGTGATATGTGACACCAAACTAAATTCGATTGTGGGTGGAGGGGGGGGGGGGGGTGGCGGGGGGGGGGGGGGGGAATCAAGGACTATCTCGACGTCGGCGCAGACAGTGACTGCGACATTAACTTCATTAACCGTGTTAGACACGTGAGATTTCTATTGTTGTGCCGTTTCATTAATATATCTGGAGTATCTGTCTACGAGAAAACAATTGCCTGCGGTTTTGAATTGCGTTTTAATCGCGACACAGTAGTAGGGACACACATCTCTAATAGTTAAGTTCTCTTTTCGTTTATCCGATTAAGTGTCTGCTTGGTCGAATGGTTAGAACACTGGGTTCCTGTGCGGGAGACCTGGGTTCGAATCCGCAGTAGTTATTTTTTTTTTACCCCTGACTAAAATAATATCGCCATCTGCTCTGTCGTGGTGACAGCACTAGCCATGTTGCATTAATATTAAAAAAAAAAAAAAAGACAAGTAAATGTGTAAACCATTTAATAATTAAATTTGACCATTTCGCATACTTATGATTGCATTTGTAAACTTTCCGATTGCATGGTTACGCTGAAATTTAATAGATTTTCATTTACTTTCATTTAGATTTAGTTATTTCATCTGCGTTGAAATTTTAGGCTTTGCTGTTTACCATGGCGTTCATTTCCTAATTATGGTGTTTTTTTTTCCAGTGTTCATTTGCTTTTCAAGTGTTTTTTTTTTCTCCCAACTACTTCAATGAGGGAAAGAGTTGTCGGTGAATTTGGGGGGGGGGGGGGGGGGCAAACTATTACTGAGACAGCTTTAAGTCACAGTAACTGCTTTACGCACTTAAAGTAGCAGCAGCAGTATTAGTTGTTGTTGGGCTGTTACACCATAGTGCTCTCATGTGAAGACCGCCGGTAAGGTTATGGCGCTCTTCTGTCGGCAAGTGAAATTATACATCCTAACCTGACCAGTCTGTGGCGACAGCACTAGCTGTGCGGAACCAAATCTTCTGGCTCACGACTCTCTGTCTACTCCGATGGTAACACAGATAGCAGTGACATTATTTTAGTAGTTGTACTGGTACTTGAAGGATGATGTGGTAAATATTACACTAGCCCCATTCACTACCTATTACAATTCCTGCTCCCCATTTTAGTCCAGATGGACAGGGATGTCAATGTCAGTTACAGCAACAACAAAATATCGCCAGGTAGTGATTTTCAAATCCTTCGAAGAGGGAGAAGAGCAGTAGTCGGTGGAAGAGGGGAGGGGAGGGGGTTATGACTTAAATTTAAGAGAACTTAAAGAGCATTACACGTGATTTTCAAATTCTCATTACCTAATTTGTTTATATTTTAATAACGCTACCTCCGCTTTTCTATTTTTTACGACAAACGTTGTTATTCACAAGTACAGTTGTAGCTTTACTTCCGTCCCCTATAAAAATACAAACAGCTTTAGCATGTGATAACCAAAAAAACATTTTTCTTACTGTGCTAATAACACCATTTAAACGACCACTAATATAAAGACACAATTATAAGGTGCGTGTTCTAAAGCTGGAAAACCAGACAATCTCTATATCTGTACAGAGAATGATTGCGACATTAACTATATTAGACACGTGCGATTTCCATTGTCTTTCTTTTCCAAAAACCTTTGATGAGGGAGAGAGTAGTAGGTTGAATTAGTTGTGGTGGTGGTGGAAGGGGGGGTGGGGGGGGGGCGGGGCGAGGATCAAAGAATATCTCTATATCTGAGCAGACAATGATTGTATTAGACACGTGCGATTTCTATTTTCTTTCATTTCCATTTAGCCAAACTATGATACAGCAACGCGTGGCCGGGTACAGCTAGTATTAAATAAAAAAAATAGGTCATTAAATAAAAAAAATAAAGACAAAGTTACCCGAGAAATTTCTTCTGTTTTCGTCGTCAATATGAGCATACATATCCAAGTATTTCTGAGGAACCTGAAATACAGTATTATAAAAACCAACTGCATAATGTAGCAGGTTCTTTGCAGACCGTCGCTCTATTCATGGTCTGTCTCAAAGAAGCTATTTCTCTCGACAGCTCTCACGCTTCGTGTACGTTCATACTCAGGGAATGTCACTTATATCCTGTGCCCATCTTCGTGTCGGTCGGCCCCTGCCCCTCTTTTCTGGTACCATGCCAACTGCTATAAATTTTTTTCCAATCCGTCATGGCGCTTGATCTGACCAAAGTATTTCAGCTTCTGACACAAGATGCTGTTTATTAGCCAATCCTCCTTGATGTTCAGATCTTTTAAAATGTCAGTATTTCTTCTCTTTTTTGTCCAAGATTTTCCGAATATCTTTCTATAGCATTTCAGCGCAAAAACCCCTATTCTCTTTGTTAAGTATTGGGAGACAGTCCACGACTCACAGCCGTATGTTGCTACAGGGAAAGATGGTAGACAGTCCACGACTCACATCCGTATGTTGCTACAGGGAAGATGGGAGATAGTCCACGACTCACATCCGTATGTTGCTACAGGGAAGATGGGAAATAGTCCAGCACTCACATCCGTATGTTGCTACAGAGAAGATGGGAGATAGTCCACGACTCACATCCGTATGTTGCTACAGGGAAGATGGGAGATAGTCCACGACTCACATCCGTATGTTGCTACAGGGAAAATGGGAGATAGTCCACGACTCACATCCGTATGTTGCTACAGGGAAGATGGGAGATAGTCCACGACTCACATCCGTATGTTGCTACAGGGAAGAGGGAGATAGTTATCACGACTCACATCCGTATGTTGCTACAGGGAAGATGGGAGATAGTCCACGACTCACATCCGTATGTTGCTACAGGGAAGATGGTAGATAGTCCACGACTCACATCCGTATGTTGCTACAGGGAAGGTGGTAAATAGTCCACGACTCACATCCGTATGTTGCTACAGGAAAGATGGTAGATAGTCCACGACTCACATCCGTATGTTGCTACAGGGAAGATGGTAGATAGTTCACCACTCACATCCGTATGTTGCTACAGGGAAGATGGTAGATAGTCCACGACTCACATCCGTATGTTGCTACAGGGAAGATGGTAGATAGTTCACCACTCACATCCGTATGTTGCTACAGGGAAGATGGTAGATAGTCCACGACTCACATCCGTATGTTGCTACAGGGAAGATGGTAGATAGTTCACCACTCACATCCGTATGTTGCTACAGGGAAGATGGTAGATAGTTCACCACTCACATCCTTATGTTGCTACAGAGAAGATGGTATATAGTTCACTACTCACATCCGTATGTTGCTACAGGGAAGATGGTAGATAGTTCACCACTCACATCCGTATGTTGCTACAGGGAAGATGGTAGATAGTCCACGACTCACATCCGTATGTTGCTACAGGGAAGATGGTAGATAGTCCACGACTCACATCCGTATGTTGCTACAGGGAAGATGGTAGATAGTCCACGACTCACATCCGTATGTTGCTACAGGGAAGATGGTAGATAGTCCACCACTCACATCCGTATGTTGCTACAGGGAAGATGGTAGATAGTCCACGACTCACATCCGTATGTTGCTACAGGGAAGATGGTAGATAGTTCACGACTCACATCCGTATGTTGCTACAGGAAAGATGGTAGATAGTCCACGACTCACATCCGTATGTAGATAGTTTCTCCGTACAGGGAAGATGGTAGATAGTTCACCACTCACATCCGTATGTTGCTACAGGGAAGATGGTAGATAGTCCACGACTCACATCCGTATGTTGCTACAGGGAAGATGGTAGATAGTCCACGACTCACATCCGTATGTTGCTACAGGGAAGATGGTAGATAGTCCACGACTCACACTCACATCCGTATGTTGCTACAGGGAAGATGGTAGATAGTCCACGACTCACATCCGTATGTTGCTACAGGGAAGATGGTAGATAGTCCACGACTCACATCCGTATGTTGCTACAGGGAAGATGGGAGATAGTCCACGACTCACATCCGTATGTTGCTACAGGGAAGATGGTAGATAGTCCACGACTCACATCCGTATGTTGCTACAGGGAAGATGGTAGATAGTCCACGACTCACATCCGTATGTTGCTACAGGGAAGATGGTAGATAGTCCACGACTCACATCCGTATGTTGCTACAGGGAAGATGGGAGATAGTCCACGACTCACATCCGTATGTTGCTACAGGGAAGATGGTAGATAGTCCACGACTCACATCCGTATGTTGCTACAGGGAAGATGGTAGATAGTTCACCACTCACATCCGTATGTTGCTACAGGGAAGGTGGTAAATAGTCCACGACTCACATCCGTATGTTGCTACAGGGAAGATGGTAGATAGTCCACGACTCACAGCCGTATGTTGCTACAGGGAATATGGGAGATAGTCCACGACTCACATCCGTATGTTGCTACAGGGAAGATGGGAGATAGTCCACGACTCACATCCGTATGTTGCTATAGGGAAGATGGTAGATAGTTCACCACTCACATCCGTATGTTGCTACAGGGAAGGTGGTAAATAGTCCACGACTCACATCCGTATGTTGCTACAGGGAAGATGGTAGATAGTCCACGACTCACATCCGTATGTTGCTACAGGGAAGTTGCATGCTGTCACAATGTTAATGTCAATTCCCTGCTGGGGCGTAACCCTAGACTTTTGATTGGAAATAAAATATATAGTAGATCATTGACAGGTGGCGTCATGTAAAGGCCGCTTCTCACGCGTTTAACTGTATTAGGCACATAGGGCTAGACCTTTATTTTATACACCATTGGGAACTTGGTGATGATCGGTTAACAGCATACATGCCGCCTTTACTTCCCTGTAAAGTAAAGGATCCTTTTACATGCCTTTAGAAGTATAGGACATAGAGGGCTAGACCTATATTTTATAGACCATTGGGCGCAAGATGGGTGATGTGGTCAGCATCTCACCGGTCGCCTTTACTTCCCCGGACTGCACCCTATACCCACTCAAGGCTGGGTCGACCTGGGAGCCAAGGTCATTTTAGAAAAAAGTCCGGCTCCTCCAGGGAGCAAACCCACGACCTTCCGACACGGCGACTCTTCTTTACTGCCCAGGTCATTCAAGGCGCTTCTCCCTAGAAAAACAGAATCTGTACATAATCGATGTTATCAGAGCCATGCGCAGCACTTACCGTGACGACAAGCACGCCAAAGGAAATGACTCCGTATCCCTGTATAGACAGATATACATGGGGGTGCAGTCTGGAGCTGCAAATAATGAACATTTCACTAAGGGGACAAGACGTTTCAATAATCAACACAGAAGACGCCTCTTCAGTCGTTTTTACGCTCGTGGGAGCTTTTGAGGGAGAGATCAGAGCACCTATGGATCTGTCCGGAGTGCTGTGAGATAATCCTTACTGTTCAGTACCCACTGAAAACAGACAATGGCCCTCACCAGAACGTATCTATTACAACAGTTCTAAAATTATGTCTTAACAAAATGATGATCAACTGCTTACTGCAGCGTACCTCCTGAATGTTGTTGAATGTTGAATAAGGACTCGACATCACAGCACTTGAGACACTGCCATAAGTGTTCAGTTTCCATATTCAGCAGCAATCGAAGAGTTCCAATTCCAATGGTACCAGTAACCGTCTGATTGTATATCCGTCTCATCCTGCCCCCGAATGTTGAGCGTTGACCAGATCCCTTGGTAACTCCTCGCAGCGCCATTCTTCTTAGACCGTAATGATCTCTCTGCGCCTCCGCACTGTTCACTCGCTTCCAATGGGCCCCCACAATATCTACCACGAAGTGGTGCAGAGCCAGCCAGCCTATCTGCCCGCTCATTTCTGAACATACTCGCATTGCCTGGAGTAAATATTCTAAGGATGCTAACTACCCGGGACCTCTGAAGTGATGCTTGTCATTCTGCATGAAGCATGTCTGCTGTCACCTTTTCTGTGAATCAGTTACAATCACAGAATTAGTGTACAGCTCATTCTCAAGCCAACGGAAGGTAAAAGATACTGCTCCAGAATAAGGTACAGGGAAAGCAATTACCTCCAGGGGCGTATGCACGCTCTGTAACGGTAGGTAGAGAAACAGGGGCGATTCCGAGTCATGGTACCGTATGATGTCCTCCGCTCTGCTGGCATACTGCTCCTGTGAGTGAATATAAAAAAAATGTATGTAATCCCTGAACTACAGATGCACACGGAAGGAAAAGGGGAAGTGGGTAGAATTTATAAACCTACAGTTATATAGAGTGAAACTTTGTCAACTCATTCGCAATAGTAGAAGCGGTTAAATATTGGCATTGGGTGTAGGACAAGATCACAAATACTGAGATACTGGAAAGAGCAGGTATTACAACAGTCTTTTCAATGCTCAGTCTACGAAGGCTCTGGTGGCTGGGTTATACCTGGATAATGGAGGATGGCAGAGTCCATAAGGACATTCTTTATAGTGAACTAAAGACGGGTAAAGAATGTCGAGGCCTACCTCTACTTCGATATTGAGACGTGTGCAAGCCGGACAAGAATAATACAGGTATTGAGGTGGACTCGTGGGAACAAAATGTCACGGAACGTGTTGTGTGGAGGGAGCAAATTAGTAAGGAAATGAGAATGAATGAAGAAATGCATGCAGAAAGGATGAGAGCTGAGCTTCTGAGAAGAAACAGACTAAGCACAAACGTTGACACAATGGTCCTGAAATCATAGGTTATCATGGTGAAATACTTTACTTAACGCAGGCGGGTCTTGCTAATCACACTCGCCATCACCATGTGCTATGAGTCCTATGTCTCATTATACCGCAATATAACCCTATCGTCGCAAAAGACGGAAAGGTGCTAATAGGGTGTCCAATAAAGTCACAAGGAGCAGCCGTAATGTAGCGGCTAGATTCTCGCCTTGGGATCTGACGGTTCAGGTACCGACGGATCCGAACTTTTGAAGAAAAACAGAAGTCCTTGGCTCCCAGGTCGACCCACTCTTAAACGGGTACCAGGTAAAGTAATCGGAAGTGAAAGGGGCCGGCCGGTGTGACGTTGATCACATTACTCACCGAGTGCAGATTGGTCTACAAAATATAGATCCAGCCTTGTATGCATAATACACTGGAAGATTTGGTAAAAAGGCCCTATACACAATAAAGTCGTTATTCTCTATACATACACATTTTATCACGCGTGACACAATGTTTGAATAACTTGGCTGTTAGTTAGTTAATTGACAGCTTATCCGTGCACATCGGACAGGTTCATAAACGCTCAGATCCCCTCTTCAGTATATCCCTCAGCGTCTGGCGACTGATAACACCAATTCTGTGTTGGTTTACTATTCTTGTTTGGCTACCTGTATAGTGTTCATGTTTAGCGACACCACTTTTGCCCTCAAGTTCTGGTAGTCGTTTGAGTGTTGATTATTAAACGTCATCTCCTGAATCATTTACTTGTCATGTCTCCTTGAGAACAATGAGATCATCGGCCGGCTTTATTGCTTCTTCGGTACCTACCTTGGCCCTGACAGCAAGGCACTCAGCTCGTTCACTCCCTCTTAACCCAAACAGCTCTTGTTGGAACAAATGAAACATTCCTGCCAGAGGCGATTTCCACATTGACTCCAACCTTTCTCTTCGAACCAATCATGTGTCGATCTTGTTAGAAATACATCATAGAAAACAGTTTCGTGTGTCTTAATAAGATAATAAATTAAAAAAACAAAAAGAATATATGTATAGTTATCCGATGATGAAATAAATTTAATTTTGTCATGACTTTGCCATATACAATCTTTGTAATTTAATAAGTGAATTTACTAACATTCTACACAACAATTCCATATGGTTCACCAGTCAACTGACAGTTATTTTGTATCCGGGTCATTGATAGTTTTCAGGCCTGCAGGCTTTCCCATCAACTGACTGACTAACTGACTTTCTACCCCACCAGGACATCACACAAGCGATAAACTCCCGATGACACAAAGTGCCACCATGTGGATGAGAATCGCCGTAGAGAGGTCCCAGAAACCGCGTTCAGACAATTGGCCACATTTATGGCCTGTCTATATTGCGGCCCCTGGCAAAAGCCAGGGTGGGGCTTCAAATAACAAAAAAATTCATCCTAAAAAGGACGAAATTGGATTAGGTACAACAATTTCCGTCAACTAATAAAAGAACATAGTTATGTTTGTCTTTTCCGAAGAATAAAGTGGCATCATAAAGCTGTTTTTTTTTTCTTTAAAAGCGACATCAGATAATTAGTAGTAATAGATTTTTACTCCGCTAGGACATCACACAAGCGATAAACACCAGATGACACAAAGTGCCAGCATGTGGATTAGGATCACCGTGAGGAGGTCCCAGAAACCGCGTTCAGACAATTGGCCATATTTATGGTCCGTCTATATTATGACTGACTGACTTTCTACCCCACTAAGACATCACACAAGCGATAAACACCCGATGATACAAAGTGCCACCATGTGGATGAGGATCACCGCGGAGAGGTCCCAGAAACCGCGTTCAGACAATTGGCCATATTTATGGCCTGCCTATATTGCGGCCCCTGGAAAAATCCAGAGAAGGGCTTCAAAAAAAAAAAAGAAAAATGTTTTTATAAAAAGGACGAAACTGGATGAGTAGGGTGTATATTACGGCACCTGGCAAGAGCCGGAGTATGTCTTCAAATAACGAAAAATTGCATTTCACAAAAAGATTACTGGATTATAATTTTTTTTTAAACTATGGAAATATATATATATATAAAGTGACCCAAAAAAAAAACTCAAAATTAGACAAATAGATTAACACAGAAAAACTAAATTACCGTTGAGTAGCCTCCCTTAGCTTGCTTGTGAACACTTGTGTTAAACCGGAAGTCAAAGTATCCCACTACAAATGATATTTGCACATATAATCTATCTATCTATCTATCTATCTATCTATCTATCTATCTATCTATCTATCTATCTATCTATCTATCTATCTATCTATCTATCTATCTATCTATCTATCTATCTATCTATCTATCTATCTATCTATCTATCTATCTATCTATCTATCTATCTATCTATCTATCTATCTATCTATCTATCTATCTATCTATCTATCTAATCTATCTATCTATCTATCTATCTATCTAATCTAATCTATCTAATCTATCTAATCTATCTAATCTATCTAATCTATCTAATCTATCTAATCTATCTAATCTATCTAATCTATCTAATCTATCTATCTATCTAATCTAATCTATCTATCTATCTATCTATCTATCTATCTATCTATCTATCTATCTATCTATCTATCTATCTATCTATCTATCTATCTATCTATCTATCTATCTATCTATCTATCTATCTATCTATCTATCTATCTATCTATCTATCTATCTATCTATCTATCTATCTATCTATCTATCTATCTATCTATCTATCTATCTATCTATCTATCTATCTATCTATCTATCTATCTATCTATCTATCCATCTATCCATCTATCCATCTATCCATCTATCCATCTATCCATCTATCCATCTATCTATCTATCCATCTATCTATCTATCTATCTATCTATCTATCTATCTATCTATCTATCTATCTATCTATCTATCTATCTATCTATCTATCTATCTATCTATCTATCTATCTATCTATCTATCTATCTATCTATCTATCTATCTATCTATCTATCTATCTATCTATCTATCTATCTATCTATCTATCTATCCATCCATCAGTCTGGCTGGCTGGTTGTCTGTCTGTCCGTCCGTCTGTCTGTCTGTCTGTCTGTCTGTCTGTCTGTCTGTCTGTCTGTCTGTCTGTCTGTCTGTCTGTCTGTCTGTCTGTCTGTCTGTCTGTCTGTCGGTCGGTCGGTCGGTCGGTCGGTCGGTCGGTCGGTCGGTCGGTCGGTCGTCGTTCTGTCTGTCTGTCTGTCTGTCTGTCTGTCTGTCATTCTGTCTACCTGCCTCTCTTACTGTCTGTCTGTCTCAATATATCAAACAATATAATAATTATTCTATCGATCGATCATCAAGTCATTTGGTCGGTTGTTCGATGTGTCTGTTGACCAGTCTGTCAATCAATTCCAGTTATTATTATATTCGGTTTGGTCTGTCTACATCCTATCTGTTTTTCCACTGTCCGTCTGTCTACAACGTATTTGTCTGTGTCTACTTATTCTTTGATTAAACTGTCTTACGATATTGTTTTGTGTAGAAATCCTCTCCTCCGTTGTAAAACCCGTAGAAAGAATCGAACCCACGGAATGTCGGAGTGCAGGCCCAGTTACAAAATCCAAGATGCCACCTTTTCAAAAAAGGAAACGAAATGTTTTTTAGCATTTATCTATCTATTGTCTTTCTGTGCCTAAAGAGATCAGGCGTCGCAGGCACGTCTATTGATCGGCTTCTGGTATCGTGCGCGCTCGTTAGCTTGCTGGATGTTGGATACTGTTGAGTTTCTGTAAGTTGTTAACTCCATCTTTCCATTTTCTTCTTGACCTTCGTTTGCCTTTTGCTGTGTCCATCCTCATGTTGAATGCTCTTGAAACAGGTGGCGCTGGGTTCACCCTCGAAAGATGGTCAAACCATTTCACTCTTTGTTTATCAATAAATTGATACAACATATGTTGTTCCACCATTCGAATGTTACATTTCGTTTCTTTTATTGTCTCTTCTTGTGATGTTGGCTCCTTTTCTCAGACTTTTTATTTCGCCCGTCGTTAGTCGTTAGTTAGATGCTTGTACATTGCCATGGAATGACAATAACCATTGCTGACCATCAAGCAATGGATCGCAAACTGTTCCTCCCCACAACGCTTAACGACAGAAGCTGAAATTAATGATGATGATGCTATTTATGATGATGTTAGTCTCATCTCTTGATGTTGGTAAAAAAAAGTATGCGGTTTTTGTGCGTGTCTTTGGCTCTTCTTATTTTTTGCTTTCACCGGCTGTAAACTCTGGCGGAAAGTTCTGGTTGTTAGTCAACTTTTTGACTGCAGTCCTGTTCCAGAACCTGCTCTTACTTTATTTGTATGCAGACTGCTACTTGCTTGCCTTTCAGACAGATGCACTTTGACTCCAAAGGATGTCCTTTAGTATTGCTGGGTGTTTCAGTATTGGGGAAGGTTGATAGGTAACAGTATGTGCTTGCTGGATTCTTGACTCGATCTTGCTGTGGAGTCTGCTTTGCTGATGTGAAGATGTTTACCATATATTTGGATTCACTCACCTGTTTTCCACACCGAAACACTGTTATTCTCCTACGTCGCTATTCATCATTCCACAGCTGCTATCCAAGTGCAGATTGGTGTCTCTTGCTTAGTCGTTGTGAACGCGCTTCGTAATGCTGGGTTCGATCCCAGCTGTAGGCGATTTGGCCTTGCGTTGGTTTCGACAGTGATGTTGACATATCTATATCTGTTATCAAGGCCAGGTCATCAGCAAGGAGTAGTTCTCGGAAGTTACTAATAATATCTTTCCTGGGCTTGACATCTGTACCTATACTGTTGATGGAGAGGATAAGCAGCGGCGGTGATAAGAAACATCCTTTTCCTACTCCAGATGTTACTTTGCATCGTTCCATGATTCATTTCAGCTACGCTTCTGCAATCCGTATATTTATAAACATTTGCACACTTGGATGAGATGTTCTCTAACTCCACAGCTAGCCATTACTTTCCACAATACTTGTCTACAGGTAGTCGAATGCCTTCTCGTTGTCTATGAATACCACAAATAAGTTATTATCGTATTCGATGCTGTTTTCTTTGTTATTTTTTATTGATTATTTTAAGTGTGAAATGGGAACTGCGTGGTCTCGAGCCATAGTGTTCGCCTCGAGTTCTATCGGTTCCGAGTTAATTTCCCGGTAAGGGATGGGATTTTTCTTTCACGTGGACTTGGACTTCTAGTAATTTTCCCTGGTCTCTGGGTAGTGAGATCGGACGCCCGTGTGCATTGTTGCGCTCCTAAAAAATCCATCGGCAGTGGGAAATCGAAAAGAGTAGCCTAACGGCGCTGCCAGGGCAAAATTTAGAGTTAAAAAGTATTTTAGGATCCTCGTCCGTGCTACAGAGCCTGTGCACTGTTCTAAACTTCTTCAGACTCAGACTTGAGTTAGAAGAAGAACGAGCACTTATGGGTTACTACCCGTGTGTGCCATGATGTTGATCCGTTGTTCATACCTTAAACCTTATTTTGACTGTTTTTTAATGTGAATATTACATTGACGCCACTTCTATTTTTTTTTGTAAATACCATCTGTTCTTTTGCCATCTGTGCTTCTATCACTGGTCTCAACCTAGTTTTTATTAACTTGGCATACATTTTGCAAATATTGTCTGAAAAAAAAAAAAAAAAAACAACAACAACTGTAAAATTGCCCAGTAAAACCAAAATTGCGGCGTCCGTGGCTTAGGCGTTGCGAGTCCGACTCCTAATCCATCGTACCGCTATCGAAACCCACTGCTGGCTGCGTGGACTTTTATCATGGTATGGACAGTCGCAGGTCGACCCAGCCTAAAATGGGTACCAGAATGGCTGTCCTGGGAAAGTAAAGACGGCCGGCGTAATGCTGACCACATTACCAATCCAGTGCCGATTGATCTGTAAAAATATGGGACGCTCTTCCCATATTCCCGATGCGCCTAAGGGGTGAAAAGGGATCTTTACTTTTATTTTTAAAACCAAAATTCTAGCATTGTTATATTGCCTAGAAAACTAAACTTTACAATGAATTCTGGGCTGAAAAAGTGTGTATTCTTTTTGACTGTCCGAAATAACTATTTACTACAACACGTGATACGGGCATGCGATATTTATTGTAACTATAAACTACACATTAGCATATAGAAAGGTATGTAGAACAAATGTTAGCGAATTTATAAATATGGCCCATCTGTGTTCCGTCTGAAATGACTAATATTGCCTCATTTTGCATTAGAATAGAAGACCCTTTTCGGGACTGTAGAGCTTCCAGAAAAGTTGCTAATTGTTAAACGGGTTAAAAATCACTGCAGAAGAGCCGTCCCATGATTGCTCCACTTCTGTCACAGTAGAAATCACCCAGAATATCTTAATTGCAACCTTGTTCATGCAATGTGCTATTGAATGCATTCTAGCCGCAACCCTCACTTGATAATGTAAATGTACTATTTTTACTTTTCATTTGTTTCGGTATCTTTTCCTAACATTAAATTAAAATGCAATTGTAACGGACTCTGAAAGCACGCAGAGAAAGGTGAAGACAGGGATGCTTTTTGCAGAGTGGCATTGTTCATGCAATGTGCTATTGAATGCAATCTAGCCGCAACCCTCACTTGATAATGTAAATGTACTATTTTTACTTTTCATTTGTTTCGGTATCTTTTCCTAACATTAAATTAAAATGCAATTGTAACGGACTCTGAAAGCACGCAGAGAAAGGTGAAGACAGGGATGCTTTTTGCAGAGTGGCATTGTTCATGCAATGTGCTATTGAATGCAATCTAGCCGCAACCCTCACTTGATAATGTAAATGTACTATTTTTACTTTTCATTTGTTTCGGTATCTTTTCCTAACATTAAATTAAAATGCAATTGTAACGGACTCTGAAAGCACGCAGAGAAAGGTGAAGACAGGGATGCTTTTTGCACATGCAATGTGCTATTGAATGCAATCTAGCCGCAACCCTCACTTGATAATGTAAATGTACTATTTTTACTTTTCATTTGTTTCGGTATCTTTTCCTAACATTAAATTAAAATGCAATTGTAACAGACTCTGAAAGCACGCAGAGAAAGGTGAAGACAGGGATGCTTTTTGCAGTTTGGCAAGCTTCACTGAAAAGGCACGGGTAGTAAGCATACTTTTTATCTTTTCTCCAGGCGATACCGGCGTGGTGGGAAATGAACCGGCAGACATATTGGTTGGATCTGCACCACTGGGTGGTGAATTGATGCATGATAAGGCACATGTTTTCAAGGCCCCTTGGGAACAAGCAAAGGAATCAGTACAGAAAGACTTGACTTCTAACAACAACAACAACAACAAAAACCCCAAAAAAGCAAAAGACGGACGAATAGTGGCCTGAACAGTTTACAAACAGCACGGAAGACAGAATGTCATGGAGATCAACTACAGTCAACCCTCGTTGTGAAGACGGCACTGGATTAAAGCCATGGCAACAAAGTACACGTACTTGCCAACAGCGTGAGTCTTGTAGCCGTTCTGTTTGAGCACTTCTGGGAACATCGTTATGTTCAGGGGAACACAGACAGCTTGACCTGGCTGGATTACTAAGTGCTGGAACAAAACAGTCTCACACAATACATGCTCACAACTGAAAAATATACTGTTAAACAATAAACACATAAATAAATAAACGCAAAGTTATCCAAAAGCACTTTACAGTCTGGTGAGATTGATGCAGTTGGGGGTGACAAGAGGTTTTGGCAGATACTCGTGGCTCAGAGGAAAGGCAAGACGGACGTTTATCAGAATGCTACTGGTACCACTAGTATCGGAACTCTTTGCTGGCTGCTGAAGATAGGGGCGGAGCGCATATGGGAATGCCTCGAGTGCTGTGATGTTGATTCTTGAATCAAATCAAATCAAATCAAGCATCTTACTACTTAAAGAATGATACGCATGGCTACTGAAAGGAATATCATTTTGCCATAATTTTGATATTTAAAAGAAAGTTGCAATTTATAAAGTGATTTTTTTTTTTAAATTGCCCTCAACTTTACAATTGATCAATTGACTTAATTCTTCAAACAATCTTGCCACGGATAGTTTTTGTGTCGTAAGAGCTTCTCAGCCAACTAATAAAAACGCACTATTGGATAACCATGCGTTATTTTTTTTAAAAACGATTAGCGACTTCTTCTTCACCTTGTCTTTTCCTTCCTCGGGTGTCGAGGAAGATATACTGCTCTGCTTCTCGCTCTTCTGGCTGTCTCGACATTAGACGCTAGGTGCTGTTCTATGATGCTAACTGTCCACATATATCTTGATCTGTCGGCTCTGTGGCTAAGTCGTTGAAAACGCTTCGTAATGCCAGAGTACAGAGTTCGATCCCAGCTGCGGGCCATGCGCCTTGCGTTGGTTTGTTGTTGCTATCGATCCAGCGGCGCATGAGCTTTCGCCCTTTGGCCCAATGCCATGTAGTGGAATTTGCATGTTTTCACAAGCTGTTCTTTTCCTCCGTACAAGGTGTTCCACTTGTCTGGTCTCGGAGGAAGTAGCGTTCTTCTTGTCTCACTGAGTTTTGGGCACTCAAAGAGATGGTGTTCAACAGTTTCTTAGGGGTAGTTACATAGCTGGCACTCTGGGGAGTGTTGTGGCTGTATTCTGTTTAGGTGTCCATTGAGTGGAGTATGTTGCGTTCTAAGTCTGAAGATGGTGGCCTGGTCCCTTCTTGTTAGATGGTTAATGCTTTCATTAGGATCAGGGCCAGACATATGTCTATAAACCTCTCTTCCAGTGTCTCCCATGGCCCATCTGTTCAACCAAGTCTCGTTGTTTATAGCTCTTATTAGTGTTTTTGCTGTCTGGAGGGTTGTCGCTGTAGGTGGTTGTTCTTGTGTTGCTCCTTTCTTTGCCAATCTGTCAACTCTGTCATTACCTGGTGTGCCGTAGTGACCTGGAATCCACTGCATAACTATTCTGATGTTGTATGAGGTAATAAGCTGATCAGCATCCAGGATTATCTTGGCTATGTCAGTTCTGCAGCGTTCACTGCCCTCCAGAGCTTGAAGGGCAGACATTGAATCTGTGAAGATGACAATATTTTGGACCTTTGAAGGGTAAACATCCATTACAGTCTTTAGGTGGTATACTGCTGTTTCCAGTGCAATTATTTCAGCTTCATAGTTTGAACAGAATTCCCCGCATGCATCAAAAATCTCTTCAACAAATCCATCGGGATAACCTATGTAGATTCCGTAACCTGCTTTAATGGTAGCTTTAAATGCTGATCCATCAGTATAGACATGTATCCATTCTTGGGGGTAAGAATCAATGGTTTTTAGTGATGAGTTCATAAGAGCGATTGGGTCGGACTGTTTGGTTTCCTCGCCTGCGTTGGTTTCGACAGTGGTATCGGGAGTGACCGTCCAGAAAGCAATGGCAAACTACTGGACGTAAATTTGCCTACAGATACCACACAACAGGGGCTGCTGGGGTTGGTTCTGCAACGTCCTGTAAAGGATACGTAACTAACCTGAATATCTTAATCTACCTAGTGCTATATACTTTATCTCCTCTTTTGTATGCTTGTCTGGTATGGCCAGACAAGATGTTCTCTCTAAGGGGGCAAAACATATGATTTTCTGTCTCTAAATGCTATTATTTATATTTGGAGAAAATCGCCTTTCCAGCATGATTTTTGCTCCCTGACAAAACGCACATCATCATCGTCCTCATCATTAACAACAACAACAACAACAGCAACAATAACAACAGCAACATTACAGTAAGACAAATATAGTATTCACCTGTAAGCCTAACCGGAAAGGGGTAGATTCCAGTCATAAATGCCGTTCTTGACCTGTAGATGTCATGACTGTCAATGTCAGTATAAATTTGACATTAATAAACATCAACAGACACGTACCCTTAAAGTAATGCCACCTGCATAATGTTGGTCACTTTTAACGCGACGGTGAAAACCGAAAACTCTTTTAAAAAAAGAAACAACACTCTGGTCTGCTGCACACTTCTAGGACATAATTTGCAATATGTCTATATACGATATTCTTCTTCTGTTCTCTACTTCTGGAATGCGCATATGGTAGTAAACAATGCAATGTGCAGTTTTATAAAATGATATTGACACCAACATATTAGGACGTATTAAAAAGAAAAAAAAAAACTAAAGATCCCTTTTTACGCCTTAGACGAACTGGGCATATGGGAAAAGCACCCATATTTTTACAGACCGGCACTAGGTGGGTAATGTGGTCACCATTACGCCAGCCATCTTTACTTCCCCAGGCTTGGTCGATCTGTGACGCCTCATACCTTGATGCAAATTCACGCAGCCAGCAGTCGGTTTCAATCGCTGTACGGTGGAATCGCAACGCCCAATCCACGGAATTAGGAGGTGTTAATAGTCCTTTTCGTACTTTTATTTTCAATTTGCTCTAAACAAAGCAAATGGAATTTCTTGCAAAGTCCAGTATTATAGAGGTGTTATGGGTCGCGGGTTAGGGTTAAGGTTAGAATTAGGGTGTGGGTTCAGCAGGGGTTAGTCAGTGTCTCTGAGGCGGTCGCGACTGGCAACAATCCTAAACCTGACCCCAACAGATTAAACCCCCCGAATATTGGACTTTACCAGAAAATGATGAATTTCCTTTGTTTGGGGCATACTGGAAAAAAAGTACCGTCCTTTCTTGTTAAACAGAGGTAACATTACATAGTTCGGTTGGTTCTCCCAGAAAATACGTGTGAATTCACTTCAGTTCGCGAATCGATGCTACATGAAAGGAAAAGGAGGTAAAGGGAGCAAAGCACCAATACAACCAACGACCTGGGCTATGCATTTAGTTGTGGAGGGAGCCGTCGAGGTGTAGCGGCTAGACGCTCACCTATGGACCGGAAGGCGTGGATTCAGATCCTGATGGTACGAGAGATGTTTTTTTTTAAAATACCATTGCTTTCAGGCCAACCGCGCCGTGGCTGTGTACCATGTGATGCTGACGACATCACCCACCCAGGGCCGATGGGTCTATACTATATAGATCTATTCCTTCATACCCAATAAAACAGAAGTCGTGAAAAAGGTGTCATACATTACCAGTTTTAACATATGGCTGTGAATCCTGGACAATCTGTAGGCAAGCCAAACAATTTCTTGAGGCCTCAGAGATGTGGTTTTACAGAAGAATGCTTAGCATAACTTGGGCAGCCAAAAAGAGCAACTAAGAGGTTTTGAAAGAGGCGGGAGGCCGAGGACAACTAATCACAGACATCAGAAGGAATCAGTGATCATTTTTCGGCCATGTTATGAGAAGAGGGAAAATAGAACATGTCGTGACCACTGGCAAGATCTGTGGAAGGAGGGGATAAAGGAAGATAACGAGAGAAGATGCTCGACAGTCTTGTTGCATGGCATGAAGGTGTGTCGGCACTATAACTGATACATGTTGCAGGAGATCGCAGATTATTGAGAGACATGATTGCCCACACTAGTCGGAAAGGCACCTAATGATGATGATGATTACACTATCATTATGGGTTACCATACCAAATTAACAGTTATGAAAAGCTACGCATTGGGAATTGGTAATGCGGATATTCAGTTTTTACATTGTAGTTTTATCAGTGTAAGACGTGGTCACACACAACAAAACATAACATAAAATTAGTAACCATGGAAATCAGGTGTCGGATATAGATGTAGGAGTGAGTAGAAGAGATACAATCAGGAATGAAGTCAAATGAGATAAATTCGGCATAAAGGTTAGTTGCGTATCCTTTACATGACGTTGGAGAACCAAACCCAACAGCCCCTGGCTGTTGTTTGGTTTTTCTAGGCAAATGTATGTCTAGTAGTTTGCCATTGCTTTCATGACCGACGGCTTTCTTGATACCACTGTCGAAAAAAACGCAAGGCCCATGGCCTGCAGCTGGAATCGGACCCGGCATCCTGGCATTACAAAGCATTCGCATCAACTTAGCCACAGAGCCGTCAATTCGGCATATAACCAATTCTAAACTACATACAAAGGGTTCGCTCACTTGGAGAGAATGCCTTTTGATGCTATACCATACAAGGCATATACAAAAATAGGATAGAGAAGTAGATCAAGAAGCAGACCATGAACAAGTTGGAAAGATAACATCATAGAACCTCTACAGCACCACGATGTACCTATGGTCGAGGCAGCCAAGAAGAGCACGAAGCCGGACCTTATATCTCTCTCAAAAAGAGGTAAAAGAGGACGTACAGAAGAAGACGTCCTACAGATGTAGGCGTCAAAATTAGAGTTGATCTGTATTGTTTAGTAATGGCCAAGAATTCTGATGCGTTGGCTGCTGTAAGTATTTCGCGTTTGAGAGCCGTATTTATGAATGAATTTGTGATACAATATCTAGTATGAGAATAGAGCTGGAGGCGGCCATTGTGGTCTGTCGTTGGCCCTAGAACAAGCTGCACACAGGGATTGTTAACGACTTCAAGCGCATTGTGAGAAAGGTGGAGAACATGAATCTTCCCTTCAGGATGATAATCATCGCTTTGCTTGCGACGTTTTTTGCTTTCAAATCGCTCTATACCCGTTGTAACGTTTTAGTGTGGCTCTCTGAAGTAGATAGTACCAGGGCATTCTTTAAGGAGTCCGGACCACTTCATTTGTTGTTCTTTCAGGACCTGTAAGACTGGCTTCATTCCCAGCATTCATCTGATTTCGTGATTTCGTATTATGTCTTTACTTGAAACTCTTGCATCTCTTCAACGGAATTTCATCTCTGTTGTCACAATTTTACGTGTATTGGAGGATGTAAGTGTCCACGTTTGGTACTGATAGCAAAATGCTGGTTAAAAAAATTGTTCTGATAAGATTAACTTTAGTACTCAAGGGCATCTGCTTGTGATTATTTTTTTCAAGAACTGAATATCTATTGTATCGATTGGTGATATGTGAGGTCTATGGCTATAGCACACCACTGATGCTGCTGATGATGCCATTTTTGATGATGATGATAATGATGATGATGATGATGATGATGATGATGACGATGATGAAGGAGACTCACGGAGAGCAGAGTGGCTGGACATAGGATTGGTTCAGCTTGATTCCAGTCTGAGCCAGATGGTCAATGTTAGGGCTCTTCACATCCGGGTTGTGGAAACCCACATCGTTGTAACCTGCAGGGTTGTATCGTGAACAGATATAAACATGTGTTTACTGTAGACAAATTAGTGTGTTTTGGTGAAGCCAGTGTAAACATGTGTGTATTGTAGACAAATTAGGGAGTTGTAGTGTAGGCATGTGTGAACATGTGTGTATTGTAGACAAATTAGGGAGTTGTAGTGTAGGCAAGTGTGAACATGTGTGTTTTGTAGACAAATTAGGCAGTTGTAGTGTAGGCCTGTGTGAACATGTGTGTATTGTAGACAAATTAGTGTGTTGTAGTGTAGGCAAGTGTGAACATGTGTGGATTGTAGACACATTAGGGTGTTGTAGTGTAGGCAAGTGTGAACATGTGTGGATTGTAGACACATTAGTGTGTTGTAGTGTAGGCCAGTGTGAACATGTGTGGATTGTAGACAAATTAGGCAGTTGTAGCTTAGCCAAGTGTAAACGCTCCAAAGCTTTTAGAACTGTACACAAATCTAACTCTTGGTCTGACATTTTGATTCACTCCTCTTCTCGCCCAAATGCATACAGCCTGCTCAAATGTCTAATGATTTCTTCAGTTTGTGCCATCCAAGACATTTATCATTTTAGTAGGTGACATTTAGCTCTACCTAGAGTTGTAATGTTTGTGTGTTCTACAGTCAGACACATAAAGAAGTTGTAATGCAGACAAGTGAGAACATCTGTGTATTGTACAGTCAGATACTTTAAGAAGTTGTAATGTATACAAGTGTGAACATCTGTGTATTCTAGAGTCAGTCACTTGAAGAAGTTGTAATGTAGACAAGTGTGAACATCTGTGTATTGTACAGTCAGACACTTGAAGAAGTTGTAATGTAGACAAGTGTGAACATCTGTGTATTGTACAGTCAGACACTTGATGAAGTTGTGCTGTAGACAAGTGTGAACATCTGTGTATTTTACAGTCAGATACCTAAATAAGTTGTAATGTAGACAAGTGTGAACATCTGTGTATTGTACAGTCAGACACTTCAAGAAGTTGTAATGTAGACAAGTGTCAACATCTGTGTATTCTACAGTCAGATACTTGAAGAAGTTGCAATGTAGACAAGTGTGAACATCTGTGTATTCTACAGTCAGATACTTGTAGAAGTTGTAATGTAGACAAGTGTGAACATCTGTGTATTGTACAGTCAGACACTTGATGAAGTTGTAATGTAGACGGGTTTGAACATATGTGTATTGTAGAGTCAGACACTTGAAGAAGTTGTACTGTAGACAAATGTGGACATATGTGTATTCTACAGTCAGACACTTGAAGAAGTTGTACTGTAGACAAATGTGGACATATGTGTATTCTACAGTCAGACACTTGAAGAAGTTGTACTGTAGACAAATGTGGACATATGTGTATTCTACAGTCAGACACTTGAAGAAGTTGTACTGTAGACAAATGTGGACATATGTGTATTCTACAGTCAGACACTTGAAGAAGTTGTACTGTACACAAATGTGGACATATGTGTATTCTACAGTCAGACACTTGAAGAAGTTGTAATGTAGACAATTGTGAACTTTTGTGTATTCTACAGTCAGACGCTTGAAGAAGTTGTAATGTAGACAATTGTGAACTTTTGTGTATTGTACAGTCAGATACCTTAAGAAGTTGTAATGTAGACAGGTTTGAACATCTGTGTATTCTATAGTCGGACACTTGAAGAAGTTGTAATTTAGACATGTGTGAACATCTGTGTATTGTACAGTCAGACACTTGAAAAAGTTGTAATTTAGACATGTGTGAACATCTGTGTATTCTAAAGTCAACATTTGAAGAAGTTGTAATGTAGACAAGTGTGAACATCTGTGTATTGTACAGTCAGACACTTGAAAGAGTTGTAATGTAGACACATGTGAACATCTGTGTATTGTAGAGACAGACGAAGATTGGGGTGTTTTGAGGACAAAGGGAAAAGTTACAATCTGCTCATTGAACAATGAGATTGATGCGTTAATTGAAAATGAGTTATATCAAAGAAAATGTTCAGTAATGCAATCTTTTTCATAATCATCAGCATTTTCTTCAGAATCATCATCATCATTGTCATCTGTTTCTTCATTTTCTTCTTCCTTATATCTTCCGTACATGGCGCTAGATCCACGTTTTATAGACAGACACTGGTGAAGACAGACATAGACCAAAGTGTAGGTCACTAAGTTGACAGACATGCAGACACAACACACTTTTGGCCACTCGACACCCCTAAAATGGTGTCAACGTTAGCTTGGTACGGCATACAGCTTGAATCCACAACTGTGGAATAGGGCTGAATTCGTTTCAAGCCACTGACATAGCACGATTGGTTACAGAAATTAGTTTAACCAAGTATAGGTCAAACAATTAATACAAACAACAGAGCCTGATAATGCATATAGATTACTATAAGCATTTAACTTGGCGGTTCCAGTGTAATGTATACAGCTTACATAAATTAACAGACTGGGAACACGTGAGACCGTAGATATAATGAACAAATAGTCGAGAATTGGTCGCACTCACAGAAAGAAGAAAAGAGACAAGAGGACACACTAGTCAGCATAATGATAAAAAACCGTCGTTTCCCTGAGTAGATTGAAACTGTCACCTCCAAGCGTCAAAGGAACCTCGCTGCAGACACAAGTGTACTAACACACACAGCCACTCGACACTGCTAAAAAAAAGGCATGTGTATCATACAGCTTGAACCCACAACTATGGAATACGGACATAATTCATTTCACACCATTGAAATAGCATCGCAGGTTACAGAAATGTGTACTAACCATAGTCCAATAAGAAGACAGAAAAATAAATAAAGAAATCCAACAAAGATGCAATAAAGCTAATCAAGTTTTAAGCCAGATTCCACCAAAATTGAAATGCAAGCATGTGAATATGAAAGTAAAGTAAAGTTCCCTTTTCACGCCTCTTGGCGTATCGCGCATATGGGCAGAGCGACCCATATTTTTACAGACCATCAGCACTGTGTGGGTAATGTAGTCAGCATTACGCCGGCTGTCTTTACTTTCCCAGGACAGCCCGTCCATCCTGGTACCCATTTTAGGCTGGGTCGACCTGCGACGTCCCATACCACGATAAAAATCCACGCAGCCTGCAGTGGGTTTCGATCGCGGTATGCTGGCTTACGAGTCGGACTCGCAACGCCTTAGCCACAGACGCCGCATGTGAATATGAACAGTAAAAAAAAACACTGTTTAACAAAATATTCTTACAAACGCTCTGCTATCAATGTCAAACTTGGACACTGTCTTTAGAAAACAGAAGGAAAATAGTCACGAGAGAAATGAAATATTTACTTACTATGCTAGGTGTCGAGAGGAAAAATCGACTTAGGAACGATGATATCAGGAGGGGAATTGGCAGGCAACAAAAACTGAGCTTTAAAGGTAGACACGAAATCAAATGGTTTGGTCATGTAACAAGACTAGCAGAAGACAGGGCACCACAGAGAGCAATGTTATCCAGATACAGTGGTAACAGACCCAGAGGTCGACCAAGCAGAAGATGGGCCGCAGAAATATCAGGGACATTGTAAAGTACTTTATACGAAACGAACAAAAGAGCCCGTTTTGGGGATCTCTTCCTATTCTGACGCTGCGAGGCATTCTAGGAGTAGAGAAAGAAGAAGAAGAAGAAGAAAAAATACAAGTGCCAGACCGTGATGTGGTGTATAGTATATTTAAAAAACAACAACACATATCAACAAGTGACTTGACTGTCAGTTCCATTGTGACAAAAGTAAACATCCAAATAGGCAGACTTCAATTGTCGGTTCCAAGACCTCTTGTTGAGTGGTTAAATTACTCACCACTTCCTAACAATCATGTCGTAAAGGGCGACTAAATAATTCGTTCAGTGCCGAAATATCACAGCTGATGCCTGATGGAAGCAATACTGATTAAAACAAACGCATAGGTCTACTGCATCCACAGGGTCCAAACACACAGCCTATTTTCAGTGACTTGTGTTGTTGGGTTGATTTTGTTTGCTTTAATAAACTTCAGATATACACGTAGAAAAAACAAGTGTTACATGAGTAATATCCAGTATACATAGTGCGTGGTCTGGGATAAGAGATAAGTATCTGAAATTGGATATGTTATGCCGAATGGCGCAAATATCACAGCCTAGCTGTAAGACACAACACAAAAATTATAATCAAACACAGCAGAAGAACCGACTTACCAAGATCGTCGGGAGTCGCCGTGGCAGAGCGGCTAGACGCGCGCCGCGGATCGGAAGGTCGTGGGTTCGCTTCCTGGCGGAGAAGGACTTTTCTTCAAAAATCACTTTGGCTCCCAGGTCGACCCAGCCTTGAGTGGGTACCGGGTGCAATCCTGGGAAGTAGAGGCGGCCGGCGTGATGCTGACCACATCACCCATCTTGTGCCGTTGGTCTATAAAAATATAGGTCTAGCCCTATATTCCCTATACATCTAAAGGCGTGGAAAGGGTCCTTTACTTACTTTACTTACCAAGATCGTCTGCAACAATCCACACCAAATTAGGACCAGATAACACCAGCTCACTATAAAACGCAAGCGTGACAAGCCAGCATAACAAGTAAACCATTTTCTTCTGCTGTTACAGCAGATAGACTGCTGACTATGAATGTCCCCTGGCACTTTCCCATGGGAGCATTTTAAAGTGGTTATCTCAGCATCTACAAGGGGCGCCGGAAGATGGGGACTGCTGTAGCTGGCAACCCCCCCCCCCCCCTCCTCCCATACTTTATGAACATCAGCACACATTTGTAAACGCACTATAAGATCTATTGTATTATACGTGTATGTCATCAAGGGCCTTATTATTATTATTATAATGCACTTATGTGGCTTGGTCTCACTCGGCAGAACGGTTAGCCGCCTGTCTTGATAATCGCACGAAGCACTAACCCTATAGTTCAGATGACGATCATTAGGGATAGCGTATAATATTCAGTTGCGAACTGAACATCCCTCAGAGAAAACGACTTCATCAATTCGCCAAGGAGACTCACCTAAACAAGACTAAGTTTAATCGACGTCTCGGCAAATCATCCTATAGAAATGATCCCTGAAAGTATGATCTTCTTGAACCCCCGTCTCAAAAAAATGTTTAATAGGAGCTGTCACCCGCCCCCCCCCCCCTTTGTTTCTTTGTATAGATGCCCATGACATAGATAGATGGCCGCCCTCCTCAAACACACACACACACACACACACACACACACACACACACATTTTCTGAACATCAATCCAAATTATAATTGTAAATTTGCATTTTTGTATGTGACGCGTGTAAACTGGCAATCTTAGTAATGCCGATGCGGGCATGATAAACACAGATGCGCGAATATTTCGTTGGTTTAATGAACGTGTTAGCCTTTTTCCCCGCATATTTTTTGATTCCTTAATTAATGAAACGCAACTAAAGAGGTTGTCCTATTACCGTCGCTATCATTATCATTGTCCAGTTCTCACCACTACCATTGTCACAATGTCATCATCATCATCACTATAATGAGCACAGTCCTTATCATCGATGTGCCTTTACAGGTAGCGCAGCTGTTCTGTCTCTTCACATGTTACTAATTGTAGCAGCAGCAGGAGCAGTAGAAGTATCTGTAGCCGTAGTTGTAGTGTTAGTAGTAATCGCTGTAATAGTAGTAGGAGCTGTTGTCCTTGGTTGTAGTAGTTGTAGCATTAGTAACTACAATAATGGCAGTGTCTTATTTGTATGTTACGATGAAAATCGTGGGTTCTGACCCTTGCAGAGCCAGACTGTTTTCAAAAATGACCTTGACTCCAAGGTCGACCCATCCTTAAGTGGGTACCGAGTGCAGTCCCGGGAAGTAGAGGTGGCCGGCATATTCTGACAACATTACCCATCTTGTGCCGATTGGTCTAAAAAAATAGGTCTAGCCCTATATGCCCTATACGCCTAAATACATGGAAAAGTGACTTTTCCTTTTTTTTAAAAAACTTATGGGCTTACTAGTAACTACAGCTGAAAAATAATACCCGATGTCCTAGATTTAGCAGCAAGTGTAATGAGCCGATAGAATTACATAGATTGTGATTGTGATGTAGAAATGAGGTCAGGAAACACCTGTTACACTAGCGGCTTACTGCAGAACCCATGAAAGAGAGTTGGGAAATTAACAGACAGACTGATTGGCTTGTTCTGCACTTAAAGGGTGGTGAATTTATACATGACAAGCGAGAATTGGCCAAGGCCCATTGGGAGCAAGTGAAAGATGCGGAGGCGTGAATAGATCAATACTTATCTAAATATAATGGTGCAAGTGAGTTGAGTTAAGTGTTGACTTCATAGCAATTGAGGCATTTCCATGCGTGCTCCGTCCTCATCTTCAGCAGCTAGCGCAGAGTTCTAATACTGATGGTACCAGTCACAATCTGGTTATATGTATGTCTTGCCCTTCGACTGAGTGTAGTGAGCCGACCAGACCCTCTAGTTACACACTGGTACCTCATTCTCGTCTGGCCATATTAATCGTGTTTCTCTATTGATTCCGTTGCTTGTTCCCAAACGGCCTTGACCACATCTGCCGTGTCATGTCCTTGCAGCTACGAGTGACCAGTGAATCTGGTTGATACTCTATTCCTTTTCTTCTTCTTTTCTCTACACCTGGAATACCTTGCAGCGTCAGGGTGGGAATTGTTCTTCGGAGAGGACTCATCTGTTTGCTTCGTGTATGTACTTCTCAGTGATGGATATTTTTGCTGACAATCATCTGCGGAGTTGGCCCCTGGTTCTGTTACCGGTAAATATGTATGCAGTTTATTTCCTTGGGGACTGTCTGTTGCCAATTTTGTCACCTGGCTAAACCATGAGATCTGTTTTTGCAGGTAACGTTAAGTATTAGATCTGTGTTGACTCTAATCCTGATATCAGTCATCATCATCAGTTCTCGTTATGCCTAGTGGCATAAGAGGTTTCAGAGAGGACTTTCCTGTCCTGTGCAATCTTTAGTGCAGTTTTCCATGTCAAAAATGCCGTACTCAGGTCACTTTCCATCGTTTGTCTCCATGTTGTTTTTGGGCGCCCTTGTTTTCTCTTTACCTCTGGTGTACATGTGAGAGTTGTTTTGGCGGGTATATCAGGATTCATTCTCATAACATGTCCAGGCCATTTCCACCTTCTCTTAGTTATCATACTGTCTATAGTTTCTTGGTTTGTGACTTGAAGTAGTTTAGTGTTTGAGATTGTGTCTGGCCAGAAAATGTTGATAATTATACGTAGACATGTGTGGTGGTAGGTGAACAGCTTGTGTGCATCTTGTTTCTTTATTCTCAAGCATTCAGCTCTATAAAGACAAATTGGCAAAATGATGCTTTTGTAGAATCGGAGTTTTCTTCCTCTGCAGTAACTGTTGGATTTCCAGATTCCTTCCAAAAGCAGCTCTAGCTTTATTCAGGCATGACTATGTCTAGCTCTGTCCCTACCAGTAGGCACACCAAACTGCCAAGACATGTAAAATCTTCAACATTTTCAAGTGTCTGGTTATTTATGGTCACTGGTTGTTGGCTTCTTCGATCTTTCTTAGTTACACCTAGCATGATACGTAAACATTTCATTTATGTCGTGATTACTTTGCTTCTGTCTTTTTAAGACAGCCACCATGGTTGACACTGACAGCAAAGGGTTGTTAAGAATACTGTGTTGAAAAGTGCTCTTTTAGTGTTGATATTCATGTGCTTGCTCGTCAGTATTGGTTCCGTTTGTCCTAGAACTTGGTTGGCTCTGTTACATCTTTGTTGTATTTCTTTATTCATTCATCTGTTTTCTAAGAAAAAAAAAAAGAAAGGAAAAAAATCAATCCTACAAATGCAAAGTCGCTCGCTTTTACAGATCATTATTGTATGTTTGTGGTTCTATTTTTTCCTTGTAAACGTCATCGCTTGTTTTGTCTACGCCCAGAAACCATGAGTTGTAAACCCTTTTGCACGGTACTATGGATATCACAACCCCTCGGCCTTGATACCTTTATAGGTATCGTAATCTGGGAGAAATGTGGCTTTTCTGCCTGCTCCCGGAAATGAACCCGGACCACAAGGAGTTCGTCACTCGGCCGCCGCGAAAGTCAGGTTTAACCAACTACGCTAGAGAGCAGGGCATCTCGATATCATAGTTGTCGCATGCTGAGTTGAGTTGAGTTGAGTTGAGTTGAGTTGAGTCAAGAATCGACATCACAGCACTAGGAGCTCATCTTCAGCAGCCAGCGCAAAGTTCGAATACTGATGGTACTAGTCACAATCTGGTTATATGCCCGTCTTGCCTTTTCTCTGAGTATAGTGAGCAGGACAGACCCTCTGGTTACACACAGGTGGCTCATTCTCTCTAGGCCATAAAAATCTTCTTTCTCTACTGATTCTATTGCTTGTTCCCAAATGACCTTGACCAAATCTGCCTTGTCATGTATCAGTTCACCACCCAGTGGCGCAGATTCAGCCAGTCTCTCTGCTTGTTCATTACCCACCTAGGCTGAAGTCTTTTAATATGTTTTAGTAGGTGTACATCTGTTGTTGCTATAATTACCTGGTTGTTAGCGAAAATCAGTTCATTAGGTAATTCTCGAGTCTTTGCTGGTGTTATTCGATAACATGCGCTTAGAAGAACGGCAAGGCGAGCATTAAATTAAACTCAGGGGGCTGCGTGGTCTCGAGGTACGGTGTCCGTCTTGACTGCTAGAGGTTTCGGGTTCAATCCCTGGTAAGGGCTGGGATTTTTTTACATGGACTTGGACTTCAAGTAATTCCTCCAGGTCTCTGGGTAGTGAGATCGGACGCCCGTGTGCGATGTTTACGCACGTAAAAAATCCCGTGGCAGTTGGAAATCGACAAGAGAAGCATAACGGCGAAGCCCGGGTAAAAATTTTGAGTTAAAAATCTACCCAAGGTATTTCTGGATCCTCGCCGGTGCAACCGAGCCTGTGCACTGTGCTGAGCTTCTTCGGACAAACTCATTTGCAGACAGGGAAAAACTAACTGATGGAGTGTAATAATGCAGCAAGCTATAGAAAATAAAATAAAAAACCAGCCTTAGAACGATAGTGTTTCAACGTTTTAATGGGGATTATGTGGCAGAGATTGCGACTCGCACTGAACTTTACAGTTATAGCACACGCTATTCCCAAAACTAGTGGCACAAATCTGTGACTCCCAGTGACTAACAGTTGCCTACTAAACTAAAGTGTTTGAATGTTGACTGGTACATGTCACCAGCCCTGAATCTATCGCTGCTTACCTGCAGCTGCAGACTAACCATGAGCTTGGGGTTTTCTTTTGTATATACTATGTGACTTAGGCGTTGCAAACGCGTTTCGTAATGCCAGGGTGCTGGGTTCAATCGCAGTGCGGACAGTTTGTCTTGCCATGATTTCGACAGTGATACCGAGAGGTACCAGTTCAGAAAGCACTCGCAAACAACTGAACGTGAAATTCGACTAGAAAAACCACCCAAAGAAAAAAAAAAAACCTGATGTTCGGTTCTGCACGTCATGTAAAGTATTCGCAACTTACATTATTCCTCATGCCATACTTGATAATTATAGGTTGTGTAATCTGTGC